CGCGCTGTCAATCGCGTGACATTTCACTCCTGCGTGCTTACTCCGCGAACGCGGACGCCGGCCGCCGGGTACGAACTACGGGTCGACGGTGGACGTAGTGACGTACGTCCGCGTGTATTCGCACGTGTCTCCGCGAGCGAGGCGCGTTAACGCGAGACGCGACGTGTGTGTCGCTCACGCCGCACTCTGTGCGGTGAAACTTAACCACGACGTCGCTCCTGGTCGCTCCGGCGCGGCGATTCCACGCTACGGAAATCTCGTCAACGGAGTGAACACAGCCACCGACCGCGCGCACCGCTACAGCGCCGCGCAAAAGTCGCCGCGCGCCGCAGGCGGTAGTACAGTCCGCGTGGAAAGTTTACCCGGCGGCGCGTCGACGGTTCTACAGTCCCTCGCGAAAGTTTCGCCGGTTTCGCGTCGCTCCGGAGAAATTCGCGCGCTTCGCGGATTATTTTGAATCGTGCGAACACGGCGCGTTGCAATCCCTTTTCCCGTTTTCCACGCGAACGACTGTATATAGATATCTTTGAGAATCGTAATACATTTATTCGTGTCGCTTGAAATCCCCAAAAATATTTGTAAAAGGAAATTAATGTATATTCATGGAAAAAGAAAAAACGAAGATTCTAAACATAAAAAGCGCAATACGAACGGCATAAAAAAAACAAACGAAATAAGAACTTGATCGTATGTACTTTGCGAAACAATCCAAGCATAATTACTCAAATTTAAAATTTAATATAAAAGATCGTCCGGGAGACAAAAAATACACTACGATCTTGCAATAAAATTCTGCTTCGAAAGCAACACTTGATCTGGAGACACTGGTAGGGTCTCGGCGCTAAGCTACCGTGGTTACTTTACGCGAGTATCTGTTATGATAGATCGGTACGATCAATTAATTCCTTGACAACGTTGACAGGGAAACGGCCCGCGCGCGATTGTTACTCGCAAGGATATCGAGACACTGAGACAACATGGGCAACTCCGCCTTGAAGAGGCACTACGAGACCGCGGAGAAGACCGCCACCCTGAAGTTGTCGCAGTGCAAGCTGGACAAGTTCTCGCGGAAACTCCACGACCTGGCGCCGACGCTGCGCACCCTGGACCTGTCCGAGAACAATTTCACGACACTGCCGAACGAGATCGGCGACTTCACGCTGCTGAAGCAGCTGAACTTCAGCCATAACCGATTAACCGCTCTGCCCGGCACGCTGGGCGCGCTTGAGAAACTCGAGGGCCTAAACTGCGCCGCGAATCAGATCAGATCGATCCCGTCGTCGCTGGGGAATCTGAGCCACTTGAAGCAGGTCAATTTGTCCGACAATCAGATCTCCGACTTCCCGCTGATGTTCTGCGGCCTCAGGCACCTGGACGTCCTGGATCTGTCCAAGAATCGGCTTACGATAGTGCCGGACGCCGCCGCCGGCCTCCACGTGATCGAGCTTAATCTTAATCAGAATCAAATCGCCACCATCTCCGAGAAGCTGGCGGATTGTCCGCGATTGAAAACGTTGAGATTGGAGGAGAACTGCCTACAGCTGAGCTCGGTGCCCATCAGACTCCTCAAGGATTCTAAGGTCTCGGTGTTGGCGCTCGAAGGAAATCTCTTTGAGATGAAGCAGTTCGCGGAGCTGGACGGTTACGACGTGTACATGGAACGCTACACAGCGGTCAAGAAGAAGATGTTCTAAAGAATAGTTTTACATTGGGAAAGAAAGTATTGTTTGTATTATACGTATGAAATTGTTAGGTATTGAAGTTACCAAACTGTCGAATGGATAGCGTCGAAGAGAAAAAGATTTAATTGTATGGCACTTTTGTGTCATCGATTTAAGAGTAAACAGCCGACGTAGAGATATTTAAAGTGATTGAGAGTATTTTAGATCAGATTTACAAGATGTCACAATTTGGAAATGTTTTCTTTCTTATACGTGTAAATCAAACTTTTTTTTGTGAGATAAATCATAATATCTGTCTTTAGACTGTTTATAATGTTTATATCTACGCCATCTATAAATAAGCGTGATTCAGAAATACACATCGATCTCTTTGTCGATAAACGTTAATGACCAAATTAAATAACTTTTTGATTTTTGATCACTGGTATTCAAAGGGACAGTCATTGTAAATAATTATCTCTTTGTTATTTTTTTGAAATGTTATTTCTTTATTTGTCGTAAGTCTGAATATCTATACGCACGAATATATGTATATGAACATGTACGTTTTCAAATAATGCTCTTACACAGAATGCCTAAAAGAAATATTTCATTCTTTATTTATTGTATCTTACGTAAATGCTTATTTATCAGAGATAATGATTCCGGAATGATATACGTTATTTTGTGGCATTTAAAGGATTGTGTACATGCAACTTATCAAAATATTTTTTATGTTAAATAAAAAATCTTGTCTTTTGTAAAATTAAAATAATTTTTTTTATTAATAATCTTGAACCAATGATATGAAAATTATTTGCAGAAGTAGCAATTAAATAGCAATCTGTGTTTGTTTGAATATATTTAAATGGTCAATCCTTGAAAACGTTGCAATTTTTATAATGCACAGATAAATTAAAATGTATTTTCAATTTTGTAGAATTTTTCAAACCAAATTGCATGCATGTAGCATTTAAATTATTTATAAAATTAAATCGAAACAAATACGGATGGAAAAAGTGCGCATTCGAATTTTGACCATTTCTGCCGAAAATTAATAATAAATTCAATGGAAATCAAAACAATAATGGAAATAAATATATATATATATATATATATGATTTGAATACACGCCCGTGTTTTCATAAATTATATCAATAACACAGTTGTTATGCGTATAAAAGAATATTTGAAGAAATATGTTTCTCGATATAGACTTTCCTGTGATGCATTGAATTGTATGACGAATGTTGACTGTTAATAATTGTATAACTTTTATATACGGATACAAACATACCGTGTCGCTTTCACACGGTTGTGAAAATAATAAGATCGTTGAACTTTCTTATGGTCAACTGCGTATTAACCTTCAGCCGAGCTGACGATCGTAGGAATTCTCTAAATTACAGATTACGCAGGACAAGAGACATTTATCGAGGAAATTCTACGATAAAATCGACATTTCCATATTTACTTATATCGAATATGTATTACATTATTTATAACGCTTAACGCACAATATTGCATTCATACATTTCTTCGTTGAAATTTCACTATGCGATACATGTTTTGCTAATAGCACCGTCATAGCTTTTTAAAAAATTAATTTTGGATATACCATATTTAACTATCAACTCTTTCAGAGTTATTAAAAATTTCTTCTCTTTTAACGCGCGAATTGCTTTGAATTTTTAATGTATTATATATTTAATTGTATTTAAAATTTTTTAAATATATATTATACATTCATGTTAATGTATATATTTAATATATTGTATTTAATATATTATACGTTTCTCTGCGTGAAACATTAAAACGAATAGTGAAAGCAAGATGTTAAGAACACACGAAGAGATAATTTATTATTTATATATTTGATATCACACACACACACACACACACACACACACACACATAATTTAATATTATTTTACAAACTTTTACTTTATTAGTGAAAGAATGTGTCATGCATTTTATATAGAATGTAAATTTTATTTATAGTGAATTCGGTCACTCACACTACTCTAATCAGTGCACATTAAAGGCTGTTTTATATAAGGTATCTAAATGCAGTGGCACGATATAATCAACTTTAACAATGAAATAATACATATATGCTCTATTAAATAATGTGACAATGTCATTATTGGCCATTTAATGTGATAATGTTATTATGGGCCATTTAATCGTTTAAAATATTCATATGCTTTTAACATTTAACTTCACCGCATGTACATAGATATAGCAGCTTTTAGTGTGCACTAATCTAGTGTAATGCAAGTGACCGAATTCGCTATTAATTACAGACTTCGTCTATAATTTATGTGTATGTCAAGAGCAATAGCCCTAGGGTGTCTTTGCTGCCTATTGCAATAGTAGAAAATGATATCGTGAAGAATTCTCATTAAGACGACCATATATATGTAATACAGGCAAAATTTTATTAAAACTTTGATACACTTATTTACTGCGTCGTCCGATCAAAGATTCACGATGAGCCTTTTTACGTACATTTATCGAGGCCTCATTTTATGAAATTTTGCTTTTGTCAAAATTCGCGCAGTAACCACTCCATTGATTAAGAATTAATATCTTCTACTTAAAATTCACTTTCCTTTTAAACTTTCAATTTTCCATACTTTAACTATATATTTATTTATTCAAATAAAATTTTATAAATCAAGTCTCTTCATGTTTTTAATTTTATTTGAATCAGTTATCATAAATACATATTTATTGTATAACACTTAGGAACACACGTTTCGAACGTTCTTCAAATTTTTATATATATTTATGGTCTCTCCGTACATTTCTTTGAAAAAATTATAGGTATATATAATTGTGTATGTAATCTTGTTTCTTTGTAGAGTTACAAAGGAAATAAATTGTGTATTTATTTTTATATCATTTTTTATTACAATTGATGTAATCGATTTGTTTAAAATCGGAAGTAGATGTGTCAATAATTTCGTTAATGAATATTAGAGGAGCTCCTTATTTTTTATTAGAAAAATCCCCTTCCCCTCAAAACAAAGATGAATCTTTATTTTTAAAACGTTAACGTAATATTCTGGAAGCTTGTTGAGAAACTGAAAGAATTATACAATTTTGCCATTTCCAATTTCGAAGCATTTTGTTATTATTGATGAATCAACATCTTTATTTGTCAAAGATATAAACAAAATATAATAGCTTCTATTTTATGTAATTAAAGTGGAAAAATGTTGAAAACTGAATACGTCAAAGTTCAAAATAAAATTTTATATATCGCAACTTCGTAGACTGCAACGTTCGTCAACACGTGAGTATAAAATAGTTATCATTTTATTAAAGAGATTCTTGCACCTTGTAGAGAGAGAGAAATTCAATAGCCAATTTTGAAATACGTTTGATATTCAATCGTTAATCGATTCGCAAGTCAACTATAACAATAAGATAAGATGAAGGATATGTAATCAGAAGACAAAAGAAGTATAATGTTACTCGAAGAATTCTATTTTATGATATAAATTTTCATAAAAGAAATCTTACAACATCGAGGTTTCTTTAACGGTAATGGCAGGTAAATCACGAACAAGGTAAAATTAATTTAATCTGGGTTTAATTTACTCTTTTTCTGTTTTTCTTAGAAATAGGAAAAGATAAGGAGTAAATTGAACCAAGATTAAATTAATCTTACATATAGTGGAATCAGAACTCAGACTGCTAACTTTGTTTTCTATTTGATGTTCACGTTCGTGATGGTATTACCTACCATCGAGACTGTTAAATTTGACAGTTTGCCAGCAGATTCAACTAGAATAATAACGAATTGCAATCAATTGCATTGGCATTAAGCATATACGTTAAGTCAGTAAAATCTATCGACATAATCTAACAAGTATGCAGATTAGTAGAACATTGCAATGTATCGGCAAATGTGTCTGTATTAAAGGCCTGTTCCAACTTCGAATAAATCATGTGATAAATTATTTAATGGATAAAAAAGAGAATGAAAGAGAGAGAAAATGAAAGCAAATAAAGATTTATCAAAAGTTGGAATAATTCCACCTAAGTATTTTATCAGCAACTCTCGATATATTTAACAGCTTCCAATATATTCAACAGTTCTTGATATAATTGACAGCTGACTGTCAGTAGGAACTGAGTGTAATCTATTATTTCGTAATTATAAAATGTTATTTATTTTTAAATGGAACGGCAGCTAGATTGTATCCAATTTTTACAATCAATCTGCCATCACGTTTTATTGGCAAATTTATATTTCTATTGACGTTCTGTCAGCAGAAAATTTATTAAAATTTTTTATTTAATTTAAATTCACAGTAAACACTGCTATTATTTCTTTTCGACAAATTTAGCTGTTAGATGAAAAATGTATGTAAATGAAACACGTAGATGTGGTTTAAAGCTTTTCTAGCCGACACAATCGACGTTTGTAGCTGCTAAATCGGCCATCGACAAGTGAACGAAAGGCTGCTGAAGAAAACTGCAGCGAGCAATTTTGCAACTCTGTGATATGGATAAGAGCAGTGCATTGTTATGAAAGATGTATGTACTGCTTGAACGTTTGAGATGTTCACGCAACGCGTGGACGACTCAATCGCGGTGGGAACAATCATTTCTTAAATAATAATTTCGATTGTTCGTATTTGTCACGCTATTCCGAATGCTTGAACGACCGAAATATCGATTGTTTATGTACGGCAAAAGGAGGCCCAAATGATGATCACCGCCGGCCATTTTGAATCGAGGGCCATGTTCCAAGTTAAATGTCGTTTCTAACATGAAGGTGCTTTTTCATGCTGATCCTCGACGTTCATTTTTAGCGGTAAAATAGGTCATGTGATAAAAATTGACGCTTGATATTCGTCAATTTTTATCGCGTGATCTATTTTGACGCTAAAAATGAGCGGCAAGCATCAGCTTGAAAAAGTACTTTATAAAACAATAATTGTTATTGCAATAAATTTTACATCATTGTAGTAGTCGTATATATCGCTTATAAAACTAATCCTTTAATTAAAGAAGACCGATTAATATTATTCTTTTAAAAAAATATGTATTACTATTAACAAGCATATATTATATAAATAAATTTTTGAAGTTACTCTTATCTTAATTGTCGTCTCAAATAGTTATAATTTCAAACATATTTTTTAAAAATATGTAAAAAGACATAAGCCGGAGCAGACTTTTGCAGCCTTTAAATGTAAAAGACTTTCTATATAATAAGTTAATAATAAATCAGAAATCAAAAGCTAAAAATTAACCAATCACAGTCGAATATGAAAAGAATAATTGACTATAATTTGTCAATTTCTAGCTTCTGACTTCTGATTTATTTCTAACAGCTTATATTATAAAAAACCTTCAATATATTTCGATCGATATGGTAGTTTTGACATATCGAGTGCTTAAAATATAAAAAATTGAGGCCGATATTTATAGTTGATTCTTAAATTAAGACTTCAAGTACATGTGTCTTATGAATTAATCAGAGAGCTGTATTAAGCCATTTATACTTTCTTAAGACAGTCTTAAAATAAGAATGGATTTTTTAAATGAATATCTTGAGATCTGATGCATAC